CGGGCCCCGGGTCTCCAGGTCTGCTCCGCGGGTCCGAGTACCGGTCTGGGTCTGGACCATTTAACGGGACTTTTCACTTCGGCTTTTTCCGCCTGATTCCGCCGCGGTTCGGAGTTTGACGGAGTTTACGCTGCGTTTGTGGATTATTTACATTTTTTTTTTAATTATTATTATTATTTTTACTTTTTTATTTTTAAAGGAAGTAAAGGAATTCTCGGATAAACTGTAAGTAAAAAAAACAAAAACGTGGATTTAATTACGTCCTAGTTTTTACTCTCTTCAGTCTCATTTAGTCCTGGTTTTGGTTTAGTCCTGGTTTAATTCTAGTTTAGTTCTGGTTTTGGTTTAGTCCTGGTTTAATTCTAGTTTAGTCCTGGTTTTGATTTAGTCCTGGTTTAATCCTAGTTTAGTCCTGGTTTTTTGGTTTAGTCCTGGTTTAGTCCTGGTTTTGGTTTAGTCCTGGTTTAGTCCTGGTTTAGTCCCCCGGTTTTGGTTTAGGCCTGTTTTTTTACTTAGTCCTGGTTTAGTATTTTTATTTTTTTTTTATTTTTTTAAGAAATTAAAGTAATTCTCATGTAAACTCTAAGTTAAAAAAAATAATAATAATTGTGAGTGAAAATTCTAGAACCGTTTTTAGTCACCCTTCACGTATTTTTAATTTAATTTAATTTTTTAAATTTTATTTATTTATTTTCACCGATTTTTCTTTATTTTATATAATTTTTTAATTGTCAGTATTATATATTTTGGGAGAACAAGTGAAGTTATTTTTTTGTCTTAACCCTAAAATAAATTGTAAAGCTAAATTATTCTGTTGGTTAATCTAAAAAAAAAAAAAAAAAACAAACAAAACAAAACCCTCTAGTCTTAAATTATCGCTTCAGTCTGTAATCATTTTCGTCTTTTTTCTGACATGTTTTGACGTACTTAGACGTAAGATAAAATTAGTGCCGTTTGAATCCGCGGTTTCGTGAAACTTTCTGGCGCACGTTTTGTTGTCGCGAGTGAAAACGGTGATTTTCTGTCGATCAGAGGCTCGAAGCTGATTGGTCCAAATCCAGAGACACGTGTTTATGTCACAGACGTAAACTGTCATTACGACGCACGACGTATATAAGCTCCAGTCTCATTTAGTCCTGGTTTAGTCCTGTTTTAGTCCTGTTCTTGGTTTAGTCCTGGTTTTGGTTTAGTTTTGGTTTAGTCCTGGTTTAGTCCTGTTTTTGGTTTAGTCCTGGTTTAGTCCTGCTTTTAGTTTAGTCCTGGTTTAATCCTGTTCCTGGTTTAGTCTTGGTTTAGTCCTGGTTTTGGTTTAGTTTTGGTTTAGTCCTGGTTTAGTCCTGTTTTTGGTTTAGTCCTGCTTTTAGTTTAGTCCTGGTTTAGTCCTGTTGTTGGTTTCGTCCTGGTTTAGTCCTGTTCTTAGTTTAGTCCTGGTTTAGTCCCGGTTTTGGTTTAGTCCTGGTTTAGTCCTGTTCTTGGTTTAGTTCTGTTTTTGGTTTAGGCCTGGTTTAGGCCTGGTTTTGGTTGAGTCCTGGTTTAGTCCCGGTTTTGGTTTAGTCCTGGTTTAGTCCCGGTTTTGGTTTAGTCCTGATTTTGGTTTAGTCCTGGTTTAGTCCTGTTTTTGGTTTTAATCCTGGTTTAGCCTGTTCTTGGTTTAGTTCTTGGTTTAGTCCTGGTTTTGGTTTAGTCCTGTTCTTGGTTTAGTCTTGGTTTTGACTCTTTTCAGTCTCATTTAGTCCTGGTTTCGTCCTGGTTTAGTGGACCTGGGTTAGACCTGGGTTAGATCTGAGAAAGTCCTCGGTTAGTCCTGGTTTAGGGTCGGTTGAGTTTCGGTTTTGTCTTTGTGCACAGTCCTGGATTTGTCCCCATTCAGACCTGGTCCAGTCTTGGTCTAGATCAGGTTCTGCTTAGTCCATGTCTTGTTTATATTTGGTTCTTCAGACCTGGTTGAGTCCTGGTTTATGTAGACCTGGGTTAGACCTGATTCAGACCTGGTTTAGTCCTAGTTTAGTCCAGTTCTTGGTTTAGTCCTGGTTTTTACTTTCTTCAGTCTCATTTAGTCCTGGTTTATGTAGACCTTGGTTTAGACCTTGGTTTAGACCTGGGTTAGACCTGGGTTAGTCCTGAGAAAGTCCAAGGTTAGTCTTGGATTTGTCCAAGAATCCAGTGAAGTCTTGGTCTCGAGCTGGTTTATTTTAGTCACAGTCCTCTTCTTTTAGGCTGCTTGGGTTCTTCAGACCTGGTCCAGTCTTGGTCTAGATCTGGATCTTCTTCAGACCTGGTTGAGTCCTAGTTTTTAGTTTTTGTAGACCTGATTTAGACCTGATTCGGACCTGGTTTAGTCCTAATTTAGTCCTGTTCTTGGTTTAGTCCAGGAAATGTTGTAGTTTAGTCCTGGTTTTTACTTTCTTCAGTCTCGATCAGTCCGAGTTTAGAGCTAGTTTATTTAGACCTTAGTTAGACCTGGTTTAGACCAGGGTTAGTCCTGGGTTAGTCCTGGGTT